TGGTTTATCTAGACATGAACAGACTGAGAACTGAAGACACAGCCATGTATTACTGTGCAAGGGAACACAGTGGATAAAAATGAATCTGAGTTTGTGCTAAAACCTACAGTTTATGTGGCAAAAAGAAAGTTTCATTTGGATTCACTCCGATGACAACAGAACCACAACAGGACAGCTTTAAATATACCATGAGCAATTCATTTGGGATCTCTCACAGCTGTTTATTTATTATTATTTTAGCAAGGAGATGAATATAGTGAGAAGGAAGTGGATTTGCATATGGACAGTATCTAAAAGAACTGCAACATGGAATTAATAATCTAGATGAAAGACTTCATAGAAGATATTATATGGAATATAAATATAAAGTCACTCGGGGGGGGGGGTTATATATAGAAGTATTCTTCAATGATGGGGGCAGATGACAACCAAAGACATTAAATACACTGTTGGAAGAAGGATTTGATGTGATTGTTTAGATGTTTATAAATTATTATATATGGTGGACCTGCAGGAAAATGGGTGAAACCAAATTGATATGGTATATGGTGATAGGTTAGGTTACTGATTGTTCAATATGGGAAAAGGGATGTTATGTTTATTATTGAAGAATGGACTCTGAAGGTGGCCAGTTTCGCAGAAATGGTGAAGATATCAGCATACATAAAAGACCGGACCCAAGATCTATGTATGGGAGTGGAGGAAATGGATAGATTATGTGCAGAATAAATAATAAGCTAGGAAGTACCAGATAGCTTTTAGTTGAATGTTGTGTAGAAATGTATAGCATACAGGAGATAGAATACTAGAATGTCAGGAAGAAATGTATTGTACACAGGGGGTAGAGTAGATGGGCGGTAAAGTATTATATAATGTGATTTGGATTTGGATTTCATCCTGAGGAAGCCATGGAGGGAGGGGAGGGTAAGAGAGGGTTAGGGAAGGAAAGTGGGAGGAAGGGGGAAAATTTGTATTTGTAAAACTTTTTCAATTAAAAAAAAAAAAGAACTGCAACAAGCAGGAACCTCACACAGCCACAAAAAGTCCAAAAAATCAACTTTCACACTTTACACACACAACACAACACAACACAACTGGCTCACCCACAATGTAGAAGCAGCTGTGCTAGACCCAAAATGCCCCCTGCAACAAGCAGGAACCTCACACAGCCACAAAAAGTCCAAAAAACCAACTTTCACACTTTACACACACAAAATTCCACATACAGCTTTGTTAGAGTGAAAACCTACAGAAATACACGAAATCTCAGAAACCTGCACAAATTATTTTATTTTATTTTATTTTATTTTATTTTATTTTATTTTATTTTATTTTATTTTATTTTATTTTATTTTATTTTATTTTATTTTATTTTATTTTATTTTATTTTATTTTATTTTATTTTATTTTATTTTATTTTATTTTAATATAAAAGCAGCTAGATTTAAAACTTCCTAAACTTTAAATGCCTAGGTCTAAAAAAAGAACAACTAAAAAACCCCGCAATTAACTATTTTTTTTTAAGCTCCCAAAGGGGAAAAAAACTTACCGGGACAAGGCAGGCAGGCAGGCAGGCAGGCAGGCAGATAGAGCTGCTCACTGATGAGCTTGATTGCAGGCAGAGAGATTCAGTTGCTTGCTGATGCAATGGATTGCAGGGATGACAGCAAGCGAAGCAAAACAGGCGTTGCGACCAGCAGCTAAGGTAAGCAAGCTGGAGGCTGGGGGGGGGGGGAAAGGGATTTTGCTACTGGTTCTCTGAACTGCCCGCTGCCATCGCTACCTACTCGCCCGAGCCAGTCCGAACCGGGAGCATTTCACCCCTGATTATAAAGCTTTGGTAAGGTGTTGTGGCCCGCCAGAGGCCTGCATGGATCATGGCTGATCCCGACGAAGAGGAGGCTGGTGTGGTGTTGTGCCAGCAGCCTGCACAGCCAGCGCTCACGTCGGACAGCGAGGAGGCTGAAGAGGATGTGGTGCCAGAGGCAGAGACTCAGCCAGGGCCTTCAGAACCTCCAGAGGTTCCTTCAAGTGGAGAGAGCGAAGTGGAGGAGCCTCTCCTCAATGCAGGGCTGCCAAAAGGCAAGAGTGGCTACTCAAGAGGAAGAGGTCTACTCGAGAGTAGGCCTTGAGGATAATTGGCCACTCCCTTAGCCTATTTAAGTCGCACGCAGCTAGTGCTTTATTCTTGCTACTTAATAAATTTGATAAGGACCGTTGGTGTGTGTCAATATCCTCAGAAATCCAGAGCTGGGACAGAACATAAGGCCACACTTGGAATACTGCATCCAATTTTGGTCACCACGATGTAAAAAAGTTGTTGAAACTCTAGAAAGAGTGCATTCTATTCTATTCTATTCTATTCTATTCTATTCTATTCTATTCTATTCTATTCTATTCTATTCTATTCTATTCTACAGAATATGATCTATCCTGGATTAATGCAAATGGTAGGTGTGGAGGGGTGAAGTGGTCCTTTGTGCTGGAGATGAAGAAGTTGGAGAGGCAGTGGGGAAAAATGTTCTTGCAGTACATGATTGCAGTTGGATCCATGCCCCATGTTTCAATCAACTGGACTTCAAATCTCATTTATATCCGGTTCCTCCGACTGTGGGAAAAGAGACCGTGGAAAGGTAGCTTTTCATCCTCATTGCTTCTATCCTTGCCCTGCTCTCTTCCATCGGTTCCTTTTTGTTGTACAGTGAAACACTGTGAGATCTGGGTCACAGTGATTTCCTCCAGCACAAATACTCCCCAGATGATTATAGAAACAGAGCGTGTGTGAAGTAATGGGCTTCTAATCTTCCCAACAGAATGCAATTATATTTCCTTTCACGCTTTCAAAATTTTGTGGGCTGCACCAAGCGAAGTTGTGAAGGCAACTGGTCAGTGGTGGGTTTCAAAATTTACTACCGGTTCAGTGGGTGTGGCTTGGTGGGCATGGCATGGCATGGCATGGTGGGCGTGGCTTGGTGGGCATGGCTGGGGAAGGATACTGTAAAATCTCCATTCCCACCCCAATTCAGGGAAAGTTTACTGCAAAATCCCCATTTCCTCCCGATCAGCTGGGGCTTGGGAGGCAGAGAATAGATGGGGGCAGGACCAGTCAGAATTTTTACTACCGGTCCTCCAAACTACTTAAAATTTCTGCTACCGGTTCTCCAGAACTGGTCAGAACCTTCTCAACTGGCCCTCTGAACAATGCTTATATTAACAAACAACTGAGTTTATTTTATCCTACTTAGATTCTAAATATCTCATCTTTGCTCTTGTTCTAGGTCCCAGAGGTTAAGTCCCATAATATATTGCAGCAAAAACCTCTACTAAACATACTGATGGAAAAGAAAAGTCATAACATAATAAATCATGGAGAACATTTCAGCTTTCTGGCCATAGAACCAAAATGCAATGAATGGAATGGGCAGAATTCAAATTGATAGATATGGTGGGCTTTTGTGCACATGGCAATAAGTGCTTATTTCAGGGTTCAAAAAAATATAGGACAGCGTCTTATTTTTAGGGAAACACAGTATCTATCTATCTATATCCATGTAGTCATCAGAAGCTGAAGTCAACTCATGTAAACCCTTTATCTTTCAACCTTGTACTTAAACTAGGAGGGCTTCATCAAATATTCCTCTGTGGAGGCATGAAGAAATTCCTTTCCATCTCCAAAGACAGACTAAAACATGATAGACCTCAAAAGCTAGACTTTTTCAATGAAACCAATCAAGTTAGTCAGCACAAAACAAGCCATACTTTTTCCAAGGTATGGAGGAGGAGGAGGAGGAGGAGGAGGAGGAGGGAGGAGGAGGAGGAGAGGAGGAGGAGGAGGAGGAGGAGGAGGAGGAGGAGGAGGAGAAGAAGAAGAAGAAGAAGAAGAAGAAGAAGAAGAAGAAGAAGAAGAAGAAGAAGAAGAAGAAGAAGAAGAAGAAGAAGAAGAAGAAGATTAATTTGCATCATTTTATTAGTATTCCCGTCTTGTCAAACTAAAATTAATAATAATTTATGAATTGAAGAAGTCTGGATTGAGGTCATGGTAAGAAGGAAAAAAATGAATCATTGTTGTGGTTGCATTTGAAATCAGGTACAACAATGAAAGGAAGTGGCTGTCTTCTTTCTTTCTTTCTTTCTTTCTTTCTTTCTTTCTTTCTTTCTTTCTTTCTTTCTTCTTGCATTTTTATGTGCTTTCAAACTGCTAGGTTGGAAGAAGCTGGGACAAGTAACGGGACCTCACCTAGTTACGCAGCACTAGGGATTTGAACCGCTGAACTGCCGACCTTTCGATCAACATATTCAGTTTCTTAGCCACTGAGCCACCACATCCAGTATACCTACTGAAATAAATGGGAACTTTGAGGAAAATGTCTGTCTCTGAGTTTTTAATGGGAGTTAGGTTACTCTGGAATGCTGACCCTTCCTTCCTTCCTTCCTTCCTTCCTTCCTTCCTTCCTTCCTTCCTTCCTTCCTTCCTTCCTTCCTTCTTTCCTTCCTTTCCATGGGAAACAAATATCAGTACTAAAAAGAAACTTGGTTAGCTTTCATCAGCCTTTATTCAAAACTCAGCCTAAATATCTGCCTGAGGATGTTTAAGCAGTTTTGATTTGGACTTGTTTCTGGACAGTGATCTCTTTTTATACAAAGAAAGAGTTTGCAGGTACTGATGACTTATGATGCATTTTACCCCTCCCTTTTGTTCAGCCTGGTCATCTCCCACACATGGGAGATGGGTGCCAAACTAATATAATGAATAAATTAAAGGAAAGAAAAAACTCTGTGACACCATTCAAATGTGGGTAGCTTTGATCAGTTTCTATGCAAGACTCACTACAAATTGTACACCTAAATATTTGGTCGAAGATATTTAAGTAATTTAAGTTGTTTCTGGAAAGCGCTCCCTTTTTATAGCGAGAAGGACATGCAAATTGAAAGGCAGTCCAACTTTTAAATGTTTCCCTCCTTCTTACTCAAAGACCCAGAGATTACCAGAACTCTTGAGAATCAGCAGTTCACCAACATATATTTCTCCTACAAGCCATTCAATAAAAATGATTATATGGGTGAATGTCATCTTGACCCTCTCAATTTTGAAAGGTATTCATCTTTGGATTCCATAATATGGTGAATTGGACTCAGATATCTCCACAGATACATTCAGATTCCTTCTTGTGTCTTTCTTTTCAGATGTTCTGGCAGATGTTTCATTAACTGAATCAGGAGGAGGAGTGAAAACACCTGGAAATTCTCTTCGACTCACTTGCACATGCTCTGGGTTCAATATTGATAGTTACTGGATATATTGGATCCGCCAGGCAGATGGAAAAGGGCTGGAGTGGATTTCACGGATACATCAAAGCTCCACACAATATGCCAATTCTTTTAAAGGTCGATTCACAACCTCCAAAGATAGTTCCAGGAACCTGGTTTATCTAGACATGAACGGACTGAGAGCTGAAGACACAGCCACGTATTACTGTACAAGGGAACACAGTGGAGAAAAATGAATCTGAGTTTGTGCTAAAACCTATAGTTTATGTGGCAAAAGGAAAGTTTCATTTGGATTCACTCCAATGACAACAGAACCACAACAGGACAGCTTTAAATATACCATGTACAATTCATTTGGGATCTCCCCCAGCTGTTTATTTATTATTATTTTAGCAAGGAGTCGAATATAGTGAGAAGGAAGTGGATTTGCATATTGACAGTATCTAAAAGAACTATTTTCTCTCTCAGCCGAACTCTCCCAATACATAACACTTATGAAACTGCAGAAATTAAGTTTGCAGACGAATTGTCATAAAGCAACTAGTTTTTTTAATACAATGCTTATATTAACAAATAATCAAGGTTATTTTATTCTACTAGATTCTAGGTATGCTTGTGTTCTAGGTCTCTGAGCTTAAGGCACATAATTTATTTCATGCACTCCCTCTAATAAACATAATTTTCAGGAAAAGAAAAGTTATAAGTTAATAGATTGTGAGGGATATTACACTTTTATGGACACAGAAGCAAACTATAATGAACAGGAGAGTTCAAGTTGATGAGTGCAGTGGGGATTGACTAGTCCAACTAGTCCAAAGTCACTCAGCTGGTTTTTCATGCCTAAGACCAGAGTAGAATTTACAGTCTTCTGGTCACCACATTACCTATTATATCAAACTGGGTCTCTAAGTAATGCTAAGTAGTCTAGTGTAGGAGATGATGATGATGATGATATGACAATGATGACAATGATGATGATGATGATGATGATGACAATGATGATGACAACAATGGTAGTGATGATGAATGGGCAGAGTTGAAGAACAGATATGACGGGCACCAGTGGTGGGTTCCTCCCGGTTCGGTCCGGTTCGGCCGAGCCAGTAGCGGTGACGATATGACGTCACCGAACCGGTTCTCCCCCCCGCCCTCCCACCCCCCCACATTATTCTTACCTTTTATTTGGTCCCACCCCCAATCTATTGCTGCCTCCTGAGTCCCAGCTGATGACTAGAGGGAAAAAAACTGTTTAAACTCTTGCCGCGGGGCTTCAAAGGGCCGTCCTACAGCTGATCAGTGTTAAAAGCAAACAAATGAGTCGGGTCGTAAATGCGAGGACTGGTCGTAAGTGTGAGGACCTTCCAGAAATGACTCTGACCAGCTAGCCACGCCCACCTAGTCACATGACCTCCAAGCCACACCCACAAAATAAGCCACGCCCACAGAACCGGTAGTAAAAAAATGTAGAACCCACCCCTGATGGGCACCAAAGTCACCCAACTCGTTTATCATCTCTAACATTGGAATGGAACTCAAAGTTTCATGGTCACAATAAGCACTACATCAAACTGGCTCTCTAAGTAATCCTAAGACTGTAGTCTAGGGAGGAGGAGGAGGAGGAGGACAAAGAAGAAGAAGAAGAGGAGAATCTATTTCCAAACACTTTCCAAAAACTCTTCATATATACTGTAAATCTGTGCAATCATTAGAAACTGAGGTTAACCGAAATAAACTCTTTAACTTTCAACCTTGAACTAAAGTCACTGGAAACTGCATTCTTCTGCTCCCTGCTTAGCTTCAGACGGCATGAAAGAAGCCGTACTTCTTCCAAGGTGGGGGAAAAAAAAGATAACCAAAGTAGAAGCGGAAGTGGCAAACTGAGCCATGTGGACAGTATTTCTAACTTTTAAAACTAAAATTAGTAATCATTTATGAGTTGAAGCAGTCCAAACATAAGAAGGAAAAAAAATGAGGACTCATTCTTGTGGTTGCTTTTGAAATCAGGCAGAACAATGGGAGGAAGCAACTGCCAACCCTTCCTTCCTTCCTTCCTTCCTTCCTTCCTTCCTTCCTTCCTTCCTTCCTTCCTTCTTCTTTCTTTCTTCTTCTCTTTCTTCTTTCTTTCTTTCTTTCTTTCTTTCTTCCTTTCTTCCTCCCTCCCTCCCTCCCTCCCTTCCATTCTTCCTTCCTTGACATGGTGTCCAGTACCAGGGAAATCAGGAGATTCAAGACAGTTTAAATGAGTAGAAAGATTTACTGAATGCTTAAGCTCTCTAAAAAAAATCTGAGCTACTAACGGTCAGGAGAAATGAGTAGGAAATAAGAGGCATTCAAGGTGAGCTAGACATAGATCTCTTGTGAGTTCACAGGTACTCGTGACTTATGATGCATTTTACCCCTCCCTTTTGTTCAGCCTTGTCATCTCCCACACATGGGAGATGGGTGCCAAACTAATTTAATCAATAAATTAAAGACAAGAAAACACCCTGTTGCACCATTCGAAGTTGGGTAGCTTTGATCAGTTTCTATACAAGATTCACTCCACATTTTAGGCCTAAATATTTGGATGAGGATGTTTAAGTAATTTAAGTTGTTTCTGGACAGCGCTCTTTTTTTATACAGAGAAGGACATGCAAATTGAAAGGCAGTCCAACTTTTAAATGTTTCCCTCCTTCTTACTCAAAGACCCAGAGATTACTAGAACTCTTGAGAATCATCAGTTCACCAACATATATTTCTCCTACAAGAAATTCAATAAAAAATGATTATATGGGTGAATGTCATCTTGACCCTCTCTATTTTTCAAGGTATTCATCTTTGGGTTCCATAATATGGTGAGTTGGACTCAGATATCTCCACAGATACATTCAGATTCCTTCTTGTGTCTTTCTTTTCAGATGTTCTGGCAGATGTTTCATTAACGGAATCAGGAGGAGGAGTGAAAACACCTGGAAATTCTCTTCGACTCACTTGCACATGCTCTGGGTTCAATATTGATAGTTACTGGGTGCATTGGGTCCGCCAGGCAGATGGAAAAGGGCTGGAGTGGATTGCACGGATATATCAAAGCTCCATGTATTATGCCAACTCTTTTAAAGGTCGATTCACAATCTCCAAAGATAGTTCCAGGAACCTGGTTTATCTAGACATGAACGGACTGAAAACTGAAGACACAGCCAAGTATTACTGTGAAAGGGAACACAGTGGAGAAAAATGAATCTGAGCTTGTGCTAAAACCTACAGTTTATGTGGCAAAAGGAAAGTTTCATTTGGATTCACTCCAATGAAAACAGAACCACAACGGGACAGCTTTAAATATACCATGAGCAATTCATTTGGAATCTCTCACAGCTGTTTATTTATTATTGTTTTAGCAAGGAGATGAATACAGTGAGAAGGAACTGGATCTGCATATGGACAATATCTGAAAGAATTATTCAAAAATCAATTACCGTATTTTTTGGAGTATAAAATGCACCGGAGTATAAGACGTACCTTAATTTTTGGGAAGGAAAACAAGGAAAAAAGTATTCTGAACCAAATGGTGTAGTAATATATTATTTAATAAAATAGCAGAATATAATATATATTATATATATATATATATATATATATATATATATATATATATATATATATATATATAATATATATCTATCATAAATATAATATATAACATAATAATATAGCAGAATAATTTTTACAACCATGTACCGTATTTATCGGTGTATAACGCGCACTGGCGTATAACACACACCTTAATTTTAAGAGGGAAGTTTCAGGAAAAAAAGTAAATTTTTAAATAAAGAACTTTGAAGCATAACATAACTTTAAATGTCTAAGTCTAAAAAAAGAACAACTAAAAAAAAACCCCAATTAACTATTTTTTTTAAAGCTCCCAAAGGGGAAAAAAAACTTACCCAACAGAACAGGGTCTCCAATCTTGGCAACTTTAAGACTTGTAGACTTCAACTCCCAGAATTCCTAAGTCAAGGCAGGCAGGCAGAAAGAGCTGCTCACCGATGAGCTTGATTGCAGCCAGGGATATTCAGTTGATTGCTGATGCATGGATTGTGATCGTCATGCAATCAGCAACTAAGGTAAGGAAGACGGAGGCTGGGAGAGGGGGGGGGGAGAAAAAAGAAACTTTTTTTCCTTTTACATGGCTCTGGCGATCCTGATCCTGAGTTGCCTGATTAGCAGGCAATTCATCTGGGATGTCAGAGCTTGGCTGCTCAGAGCATTTAAAAGGGAAAAAAGCCTCTGATGATCGAGGGGCTCACCTGGGCATGGGGGGCGGGGCAGGGATTTTTGCTGGCGTATACGCGCTCATGCGATTTCCACATTATTTTCAAGATGGAAAAGTGCGCGTTATACGCCGATAAACACGGTATACTTTTTACAACCATGTACACTTTTTACAGCCATGGAAATTTTTTTCAATCATGTAAAGTCGACAGTGGTATTAAGAACCATCATCACTGTCATTAACAAACGAGGAGAGACTTTAAGGTTCAAGCATTCCTCTAAATTTCTGGAAGAACTCATCATTATCACTGGTATCAGAGTTTAGGAAACTCAGTTGCTCATAATCACTTTCTTCGCTACCTTCATAAATAATATCATCTTCAGTTCCATCTAAGGCATTACTAATGCCACATTTTTTGAAGGACTGTGTAACAATTTCATCCTTCACTGAGTTCCATGATGTTTTCACCCATTCACAAACTTGAGTGATAGTGGGCCTCCTCATTAGTCCAGTGGGTGTCAGATCATGATTACTAGTAGCCATCCATTTGTTCCACTCTTCTCGCATGTACACTTTGAATGGCTTGTTGATGGAAACATCAAGAGGTTGAAACTGGTTGGTAAGACCCCCAGGAATTACCGCTAGATGAGTCTTCACTTCTTTGAATCTTTTCTTTGTGGTTTCACTAATACTGTATGTGCTCTAAACTGGTCGAGCACTAATAAAGCTGTTTTTTTCAGAAGACCTCCAGGACGTTTGGACCACACTCTTTCAATCCATACTTTCATTCCATGTTCGTCCATCCATCCTTTCTCACGGACATGCACAACAACGCCTCTTGGAATTACTTCCTTTGGGAAGGTTTTTCTTTTGAATATTAATACTGGTGGCAATTTGGTGCCGTCTGCACAGCTGGACAACACAACTGTGTAATATGTTTTCTCATGTCCTGAGGTTTTCACGGTTATGCTTTTGGCACCTTTCACACCAACAGTCCTATTTGATGGCACATCAAAGGTTAGTGGGACTTCATCCATATTCCCAATCTGGTCAATTTCAAAATTATTTTTCTTCCTGGAGTCTATCACAAAAGTATGAAAAGACAGGATCTTACAGTCGTACTCTTTTCTTTGCGCAATTCTAGTTTTGATGCGCATTGCAAGGCCATATCGCCTCATAAATCTGAAGCACCACGATGGTGTGTTCTGTCCCCAACCACACGCACACACACCAACAGAATTTCAAGAGTTAAAGACCAAACCAGCCGGCAAAATCCTTTTCCTTATGATAACGGAACTTGGCAACAACCTAGTGGCTGTCTGCCAAGAGTTTATTATTTAGAAAGAGGAGAGATAACTTCTCCCCACTTCTGATACATCAAAAGAAACAGCTCAATAATTATGGAGTCAATCAAGTCCAGAGATAATCCAGCAAAGTCTATAGCCAAAAGTCTGGCAATGCAGAATGGTGTGGAAGCTTTCAGCTTTGTTCGTCACAAGCTTTGACTGGCCACCACACTCCCTTTTATATCCTGTGGGGTGTGGTCCAGTGACTCAGCCTAATCTCGGGCACGCCTTTTCTTCTGTTGCGCGCGCTTATCTCTGCGACGCTGGCGTGGATCCAGCCAAGACTCATTACCCTCATCACTGTCCATCTGTGGCTGCGTGGACGTGCTTGGCCCCGGCCCTATCTCTTGCCCTTCGGCGGACACCGAAGGCATTGCCAGAGAGGAGAGTCCTGGAGAGGGAGGCCTTGCCAACTCCCCTCCTTCACTCTCAGAGTCCTCTCCTGCCAATGACACAGGCTCCAGTAACGGAGCCACATCATGGTGATCCAGTAAAATCCTGAATGCTTTTCTGTGTAGCAATGTGTTTGGCTTCACCATTTTTGTAATGACTGCGAAGCCACTGTTCTGGTGACCTTTGATCCAGTCTCTCATGTCCTCCTCTAACTGTGGCCACTTTGCAGGAACCCCATGAAAGTTCTACTTGCTTTTATCCTTTACCTTTTGCAGCTGTTCCACCTGTTTCCTTCACTCTTTTATCATTTTTTCAGTTGGAAACATTTTTCAAATGTTTCTCTGCTGCTCTGTTTCCATGCTCCTGAGCATATTTCACAACTTGCAGTTGAAAGAGATGTTGTATGCTTGCCTTCTTGGCTTTGACATTTTTCTGCAAGGAAGAACAATATTGTGTCCTTTATAACAATGCAGAGCACTGTAGCTGAAATCATGTTCATTCATACGCACACACTAGGGTAGCTTATTATGCCCCGCCCTAAACTACAGTAACAATAGCAAGCTGAGAATTTTAGGACATTGGTGATTTGTTTCCTCCCTAACCCTAACCCTAACCCTATACAAACAAGTGCTAACCCTAACCTTAACCCTAACCCATTATATACAGTTGCTAACCCTAACCCGTTATAAACAGATGCTAACCTTAACCCCTAACCCAGGGGTCTTCAAACTTGACAGCTTTAAGACTTGTGGACTTCAACTCCCAGAATTCTGAGACTGGTCCAACTGGTCCAAAGTCACCCAGCTGGTTTTCATGCCTAAAACCAGAGTAGAATTCACAGTCTTCTGGACACCACATTAACTACTACACCAAACTGGGTCTCTAAGAATTCTAAGACTGTAGTCTAGTGTGGATGATGATGATGGTGATGATGATGATAGTTGTGGTGGTGGTGATGATGAATGGGCAGAGTTCAAATTAATAGATATGGTGGGCACCATATCTACAATTGGCCCAAAGTCATGCAACAGGTTTTTCATATCTAACACTGGAATAGAACTCAAAGTTTCAGGGTCATAGTAAGCACTACATCAAACTGGCTCTCTAAGTAATGCTAAGACTGTAGTCTAGGGAAGATGAGAAGGAGGAGGAGGAGGAGGAAGAAGAAGAGGAGGAGGAAGAGGAGGAGGAGGTGGAGAATCTATTTCCAAACACTTGCCAAAAACTCTTCATATGTACTGTAAATCTGTGCAATCATCAGAAACTGAGGTCAACTCACATAAACTCTTTGTCTTTCAACCTTGAATTCAAGCTAGGAGGACTTCATGGAATATTCCTCCTTGGATATATAAAGAAATATGTTTTCATCTCTGAAGGGTAGTTTTAAAAATGTTCTGCCTCAAAATCTAGACCTTTTCAATGAAGGCTTTCATTCAACCAAACAGTCACTGGAAATTGCATTCTTCTGGTCCCTGCTTAACTGCAGAAACATGAAACAAGCTACAGTTCTTCCAAGGGGCAAAAAAAGAAAGGAAAAGAAAAGAAAAGAAAAGAAAAGAAAAGAAAAGAAAAGAAAAGAAAAGAAAAGAAAAGAAAAGAAAAGATAAGATGATAACCAAAGAAGAAGCGGAAGTAGAATTCTGAGCCATGTTGAAAATACCTTTTAAAACAAAAATTAGTATTAATTTATGAGTTTATTTATTGATGAGTTGAAGCAGTCTGGACTGATTTCATCGTAAGTAGGAAACAAAATGGTGAATCATTGCTGTGGTTACTTTTCAAATCAGGCAGAACAAGGGCAGGAAGCAACGGCCAACATCTGTCTGTCTGTCTGTCTGTCTGTCTGTCTGTCTTCTTTCTTTCTTTCCTCCTCCCTCCCTCCCTCCCTCCCTTGCCTCCCCCTCCCCCTCCCCCCTCTCTCTCTTTCTTTCTTTCTTTCTTTTCTTTCTTTCTGACATTGTGTCAGGTGCTAGGGAAATCAGGAGATTTGGACAGTTCAAATGAGTATAATAAATATAACAAGGTCTCTAAAAAAATCTGAGCTACTAACAGTCAAGGGAAATGAATGGGAAGTAAGAGGCATTCAAAGTGGGCAGGACATAGATCTCTTGTGGGTGTGCAGGTACTCATGATGTATGATGCATTTGATCCCTCCGTCGGGCCCAGCATGCTCATCTCCTATACATTGGACACAAATATGAATGCCTTGCAGGAAGATGGGTGGCAAAC